TAGCTCACTGCAACCTCAAACTTCTGAGCCCAAGTGATCCTCTTGTCTCAGCTTCCTGGATAGCTAGGACTATAGGCGCCAGCCATAATGCCTGACTAATTTTTCTAATTTTAGTAGAGATGGGAGTCTCACTTTTGCTTAGGCTGGTCTCAAACTTCTGAGTTCAAACAATCCTCTCACCTTGGCCTCTTATTTTTCTGTATTCCATTTAATTAATTTCTCATTATTTCCTATGTATTGCTTCCTTTAGGTTAAATTTGCTCTCTATTTTTTAGTTTCTTAAGGCTTAAAAAATTTGAGATTTCTAGTTTAAGCATATAATGCTACAGTTTCTCGCAAGAACTATTTTAGCTACATCCCACAAGTTTTTTTTTTTGTTTTTTTTTTAAGACAGAGTCTCACTATGTCAGCCTTGGTAGAGTGCTATGGTGTCACAGCTCACATTCACAGCAACCTCAAACTCTTGGGCTTAAGCAGTTCTCTTGCCTTAGCCTCCCATGTAGCTGGGACTACAGGCAACCGCCACAAGGCCTGGCTATTTTTTTGTTATTGAAGTTGTCGTTGTTTAGCTAGTCCAGGTCGGGTTCGAACCCACCACCTTCAGTATATGTGGCTGGCACTATAACCACTGTGCTAATCAGTGGGGTGCTGAGCCAATCCCACAAATTTTGACATGTTGTGTCATCCTCTAATTTCCCTTATGATTACTTCATTGACCCATGGGTTATTGAGAAGTATGTTGTTTAACTTAGAGATTTTGTAACCTTCTTTCTGTTACTTCTACTTTAGTTCTGAGAGCATATTTTTTACTAATTCAATTTTCTTGTTTTGTGGCCCAGAGTATGGTCTATTTATGAGAATCTTGAGTGTGTACTGGTGAAATCTGCTGTTGCTGGATGGAGTGTTCCTTAAATGTCAGTTAGATGGAGTTGGTTGATTGACAGTTTCTTATATCTTTATTGATTTTCTCCCGGCTTGCTGTCAGTCACTGAGAAAGAATGTTAAAATCTCCAACTTCAAAAGTCTATTTGCCTATTTTTTTTTAATTCTACCATTGCTTCATGTATTTTGAGGTTCTTTTATAAATGAATATTTGTGATTATGTTTTATTTAATTAATTAATTTATTTATTTTTGAGAGAGAGCCTCAGGCTGTCACCCTTGGTAGAGTGCCATGGCGTCACAGCTCACAGCAAGCCTCCTGGGCTTAAGCAATTCTCTTGCCTCAGTCTCCCAAGTAGCTGGGACTTACAGGTGCTTGCCACAACACCTGGCTATTTTTGGTTGTAGTTGTCATTGTTATTTGGCAGGCCCAGGCTGGATTTGAACCCACCAGCTCTGGTATATGTGGCTGGTGCCTTAGCTGCTTGAGCTATAGTCACGGAGCCTATGATTATATTTTAGATGAATTCATTATGATATCCCTCTTTTATCTCTGTTAATATTCTGAAATCTACGTTGTAGGTTATCAATATAGTCCTTCTGAGTTGCTTTTGATTAATCTTTTCATGGCATATTTCTTTTTACTTTTTTACTTTTAATCTGCCTCTATGTAGACTTTATGTTTAAGATGGATTTCTTGTTGACAGCATATAGTTGATTCTTATTTTTTATATAATTTGACAAGTTCTGCTTTTTAAGTAGAGAGTTTAGAGCATTAGTACTTAATGTAATTACCAGTGTGCTTGGATTTAAACCTGCCATCTTTGGGTTGGTTTTTTATGTGTCTCACTGATTTTTTTGTTTCTCTTTTCTTGCCCTCTTTTAGATTTAGTATTTTTCTTTCTTTCTTTCTTTCTTTCTTTTTTTTTGGAGACAGAATCTCACTATGTCGCCCTGGGTAGAGAGTTGTGGCACCCACAGCTCACAGCAACTTCCAACTCTTGGGCTTAAGTGATTCTCTTGTCTCAGCCTCCCAAGTAGCTGGGACTACAGGCACCCGCCACAATGGCTGGCTATTTTTTTTTTTTGGTTGTAGTTATCATGGTTGTTTGGCAGGCCCAGGCTGGATTCAAACCTGCCAGCTCCAGTGTATGTGGCTGGTACCCTAGCCGCTGAGCTATAGGTGCCAAGCCAGATTTAGTATTTATCAGAATTCTGTTTTATCTTACTATTGGCCTATTAGCTGTATTCTTTGTTTCGATATTTTAGTGGTTGCTCAGGGATTTACAATAAATATCACAAATTGATCATTGTCCACCTTCAAGTAATAGTATGCCACTTCATATACAGAGTTAAGAACCTTAAAAGGGTATACTTCCATTCTGCCCACTATTTCTTTAATTTTTTTTATTTTTTTTTATTTTTGCAGTTTTTGGCTGGGGCCGGGTTTGAACCCACCACCTCCGGTACATGGGGCCGGGGCCCTACTCCTTTGAGCCTCAGGCACTGCCCTGCCCACTATTTCTTTGTGCTATTCTTCCCAACATTTTAATTCTACATAGATCATAAACTCTGTAATTTGTTAATCGCTTTTGCTTTAAGTGATCAATTATTGTTTAAGGGAATTTTAAAATGACCTAAAATTTTCTTTCATGTTTTTTTCTCTTTTTTTCCAAGAGAAGCTAGAAATAAGGGTTTTTATTTGATATTTCTTGAGTTTAAAAAAACTGCAAGCCATCAAATATTGTGCCCTGGATCTTTGTACCCTTCCATTAACCTGAAATTTAAAAAAAAAACTGCAGGGCATTCAAATGAACCAACAGCCTAAATTTAAGAGCTAAACTATAAATAAAACTCCTAGAGGAAAACATGGGGGTAAATCTTCATGACTTGATTTGGCAATGGATTTTTAGAATTAACACCAAAACACAAACAATGAGTTTAAAAAAAATTGATAAATTACATTTCATAAAAATTAAGAACTTTTGACATCAAGGGCATTGTCAAGAATGTGAAAAGATAATTTATAGAATGGAAGTAAAATATTTATAAATCACATATGTGATAAGAGTATAAAGAACTCCTATAACTCAGGAATAAAAAACCAGATAAGACAGTGTAAAAATAGGCAAAGGACTTGAATAGATAGCTATATAGCTAACAAGTACATGACAAGATGTTCACCATCATTAGTCATTAAGGAAATGCAAATCAAAACCACAATGGACTCTCACATATTGTCCACTAGAATAGCTTTAGTCAAAAAAATGGAAATAGGGCAATTGCAAAAAGATAAATACCGTGATTCCACTACCATTATTTGTGGTATCTAGATTACTCAGATTCTTAGAGACAGAAAGTGTAATGGTGGTAGCCATGGGCTGAGGGTAGGAGAATGGGTATATGGTTTAGTGGGTATGGAATTTCAGTTTTGTAAGAGGTAAAAAGTTTTGGTTATAGCTTTCTTATGAAAGCTACAGCTCAATTATAGCCCAAGAAGAAAAGGAAAGGGGAGAGGGAGAGGAGAGGAGGGAGGGCTGCATATTGTTTTGTTTTTTGAGACAGGATCTCAAGCTGTCACTCTGGGTAGAGTGCTATGGCATCATAGCTCATGGTAACCTCCAACTCTTGGGCTTTAGCAGTTCTCTTGCCTCAGCCTCCCAGGTAGCTGGGGCTACGGGC